TAGTTCTTAACCCAGAAATCATTTTCTGGTAAATAAAGTCTGCAAAAAGAATCGGACCTCTTCTGAAGAATGTCAGGCATGAATGACCCAGCCATTCTCATTTTGAGTTGCACAAAAAATGATTGTCGGATAACATTTATGGTATTGTATAGCAGAAACTCTCATTTACTGAAATAAATGAGATAAATAAAATGGTATGTCCATTTTATGACTGTTATAAATAATGTGTCTATAACACAGTTCCTCCTCAGAGTTCCAACCTTTTAAAGAACCATTAGATTTTAAGGCATTTTATGAGTTTTAAAGTAGTTATTTAAACCTAGCACTAACAAAAACATTCGGCCCTTGCATTTAGTCCATGGTCATCTCAAAATCTGGGGTAAACAGGTTAGTTGTGAAAGGTGATTTGAAAGGGGCATAAAGTGAACCTGAGTCATTTCACTATACAAATTGTTTACAGTCAATTGCTCAGCTGCTTTTTAAATGCATCCTCTCTCTCACCCCATTGCTAAGAGGTCTGTAAGGAGCATGCATAAGTGAACCAGCGTGCCTAACGTCCCTGTCCTACTGCCTCCATTTATTCGTACCCATTTCCTGTGTTCATATCCATGTTTATACTTATATTTGTTATCTCGTACATGTTTGACAAACTAAATAAATGAAATGAAATGAAATGGATCATTCTTATGGCTTTAATTTAACCTTTTTACACATTTACTTTAGTCATCAATGTCCTATTGTTCTATTATCTTGATGCAATTAACAAAATCATACCAAATAAAACAAGGACCATTTATGCACTCTATTATGGCCAGCCAGCTAAATTTTCTTGTCAAATGATCCTTACCAAAAAGTGTTAACTATTGGAGCGCTCCAAAACTGGTCTGCCTATAACCTTAGATTTATATCAGTAAAGACAAAGCTCTTTGCTACCTTAATGCAGCTCATTTTGTGCAATTAAGGTGTGCTGAAAAGAGTCATGGAATCATAAACTTGTAAACTTAATAAGCACCACAAGGATTATCTAGCCCAAGTCCTAATGAGTGAAAGAACCTGAAACTTCACAAATGGTAAAACAATCAAAATGCAATGATCAATCAGTAATCTAGCAGAGGGATGAAATATCCCATTGTACCAGCATATTGCATTGGCTTAGTTTGAAAATTAAAATCACATAAAACTTTGATTGATTAGACAATCAAATAGAGTCAATACAAAGGAATCATTTTAATTTATAATATTGTACCACAATTCTGATTCTAGTTGGCTACTGTTGACAGAACAAAAAAATTAAAAGTAAAGATGGTATATAAATGTCAATTCACAAGCAACCTGCATGGCTGCCTTTTTGAAATCAACACAGCTGATGGACCAATCTTTTTCTTCCCCCTCTCTGCCTAAGCTATAAGCCAATAGTAACATCAAACACTACCTCTAGGGATGCTTTCAAGTAATGCCCTAAAGCTATAAACTTGTATGCAGATGTATTAAATTAATTCCCATTGGAATCCACTGGATTTAAGCAGCTAACTCAGAAGCAATGTACAACCCAGACTTGTTATATACCCGTTGTTTAATACTTGGCTGCTGTATCTATTTTTACATCTGTGTAGCTGTTCCTTTGTAGTGGTGAAGATAGTCAAGGATACTGGAAGTAAGGGCAGCTTTCATCTAATGAAGACATGGGCAACCAGCATCCTACTAAGTGTACATCTACTTACATCTACTAAGAGATGTAAGACTACATCTCTTATATTCTTATCATTGACTATGTTGACCAAGGCTGATCAGAGATGGATATGTGGAATATATGCTGCCCACTCTTTCTCATAAAGGAAAGACTATAACACCAATTTTCAAAGTAAGGAAATTGTCATGAAAATGCAGCATTGCAAAGGCACTCAGGGTTATGGGGTGGGATGGGGGATTTTAACTGGTTGTTCTTTGGCCAGACAGAATTGTATATTATTATTATTGTTGCTATATTATTTTTTCAAATCTAAATAAAAGGATATTTGATAGGAAAATGCAGAGAAACCTCTTCTACCTACTTGTTTTCTTAGTTCATGTTTTGGAATCTGCCCCTACCTACATCACTATCCAGTATGCGATATTTAAGATGATTTAAAGATAAATTAGATAACTCACCACTTTGGGTTTTTTTTTAAATTCCTTCCCACAAAAGATTTTTTACAATGAGAGAAAGAAAACTGGAATGTCTCAGAATGATAAACTGTGATAACTAGCTTGCATAAATTTATATATAGAATATAATTTCAGTTCAATTTACATACAGGTGCTGTAATGTAAATGAACATCTCTATTAAAGTATTCTTGTGAAACTGATAGTGTATGCAACAGAAGTTAGTTCTGCTTTCTTTTGTTGTTGACAAGTGAGTAAATTATATGTAGACTTGGGTGTTTTTTTAATGTGGAGCAATAGCTTATTTGCTAATCAATTTGCATTTATTCTTACCAAGACTGACTTTAGTAAAATTCATATGCAATATCCTAGCAACATGGCTGAGGAATCTTGGAATAGGACAAGTTTTTGAAAGCAGCAAACTGGCTCCTTTTCCAAAAAGCTGGTGTTTTGGACTGAACATGAAATACAGCTCAGAGGTCAATCTACAATCATAAGTTACCCATTCTGTATTTCATAAAGGGGGCAGAAATGTAGCTAATCATACCAAGAGGAACACACACACACACACACAAAACACCTATTTATTCTTTCGTTCCCCAGCATAAAGCTTGAGGAAGGAAAGTCTTCTGCCTCATGACAAAGGACAACAGGAAGATTTAGGAGAGTTGACTAAATTTTTAAGGTATTCTCAGCCAACACTGGAAGAGGAGATATCCTTCTGAACCTTCAAGCTGTCTTCCACATTGAATACTTTTTTGTGTGGAATACTAGTTAGTGGGTAATTAAAGGCATTATGAATAAATGAGTGCTCAATAGAATATTTGGTCTTCAACAGTCTAATCAACTAGGGAGTCAAGCTGGAGAAGGACATCCACTCTCTAAAGCAAGAGTATGTTGTGTATCTGAAAGGCTATCCAGGTAGTTGAAAGAAACCATCATTTTACAAAATGTAACGTCTATAACTCTGAGGTTTTCCCAGGGAAATGATGGTTGGTATTTTTATAAAACTAGCCTTTCCAAAGTTGTTGCCCATCTACTGCTACTTCTTGGGCAACCCAGCAGCTGCCTAGAAGTATTTTGGGAGGAAAACAGTTCACAAATCAAAATGATCAAGGTACTTCTAAGCATATGTGCTTGGAGGGAAGAGTAACTGAAATTACCAAGAATAACTGGGATTTCTGCCCACAATTTCAGTGAATCCTCAGTGCATTAATGGGAAATGAATATCCATGCCATCCCCCAAAACAAGTTCAAACACCTGGTGAATTGATATTTCAGGAAACACGGTATTCATTCGATGCTATGTTAAATCTATTGGAAGTGACTCAAAGAAAGTTAGTGATGGATTAGACATTGGATTCATTCATTCATTAGGCTTAATGCGTAAAAGTTCTATTGAGTTTCGAAACAGCATAGATAAGCACAGCCAGGTTCCTTTGCCTCGTGCCCAGTGGTTATAAGCTAGCAGTCCTGAAGCTGGATCTTTATCAAGCCTATTCAGCATCAGTTTGTTTCCTATTCACTCTCCTTAAAAAAAAAAATACGCAGGGAGCATCTACCTAGAAAGTGAAAGTGAATCCCATTCACTGGAGTGAACTCTATCGTCAAGCCACATTATTTCAAGCCGGTCTCCTTTGGAGTAAATTGCCCTAAAACCTTTGAACATTTCATTGTATTCCAATTGCATTGGAATTCATTGCATTTAGGACCAGTGTTTCAGACTCGTAAATCTGTAGTTCCCTCTGTCCCCCCCTTTTCCCCCCCAAAAGCAAATTAGTTTGCAACCGGGAGCCTAATTCCCCCAGGATTTCCAGCAAGCTGCAAGCTGCCAAACCCAAACCACTTAACCACTTTCCTTGCACTTGCACTTCGTCCAAGCACTTTCAGTAGAACCAAACTAGATTGAATATATCCTAAAGGCAGCACTTAAACTGAACACAAATTCAATAAACTTCATTGCTCCAAATTACTTTACAATACCTGGCAGAGAATACCCAAGGCGCAGAGGTTTACTCAGTATTAATTAAACTTATTGATGCTCCTTCAACCTCTCCGAGAAGAATTGATGTAAATATCCGTGCTCGTTAGGCACAGGGAAATCGATACCCAGTGATTTTTTTCCCCCTTGGTTGGTTGGAAGATAATTATGAAAAATTCGCGGACAGAACCAACTAACTGCAAACAAGCATGTTTGTGAGCACAAGAACTCTTAAGAACGATGGCAATTTTAAGAATAGAATAGAATAGAATAGAATTCTTTATTGGCCAAATGTGATTGGACACAAAAGGAATTTGTCTTTGGTGCAAATGCTCTCTGTGTACATAAAAACAAGATACATTCGTCAAGAATCATAAGGTATAACACTTAATGATAGCCATAGGATGCAATTTCTTCTAATAAAATGTATCCTAGCAAACGAAGGTTACCAGTCCTGCTGATAATTGGGAAAAGAGGGGTCGAAGATCTACAAGCCACAATTGCTACTTTCACATTTTAAAGGGGTGGGGTGAGGTAGATTTAGCATTAAGGACCGGAGCCCTTTTTTTGCTTTAAAATCAAGCCGGCCACCCCGAGTGAGGATTTCAGCCAACACGTGAGAGTGAGGGACGCTTGGAAGACAGTTCCCCCTCCCTCCAGATTTGGGACTCCCTGACCAGGGAAGTCGACTTCAAGGCAGGTTCCCGCTTGGGCAAAAAGGACTGGGAGAGCACCCTCGTGGATGGCTAGCGGGTGGGCAGCGTGGAGGAGAAGGACGGCGAGAGGGTTTTTGCTGCCCCGGCGCGGCGACGAGAAGGAAGAGAAGGGAGGGGAAAAAACAGCCGGAGGTTCACAAGCCAGCCCCGGCTGCCTTACCGTGAGCGCTGAAAACTTCTGAGCCGGCACCAGGAGGGCCAACTCCGGCAGCAGCAGCCACAGCGGGAGCAGCAGCAGCATCTTCAGCTACAAGCGCAGAGCTCTCCTTGGTCCTCGCGGGCTTCTTCTTTCCAGGTTAAGTGAATGCGGGGGGAAGACGAGTGGTAACTTTTCGCCCAAGGTTTCGCGCTGGGGCTCGGCTGCTTTGCGCGGGGATGTCCGGAGAGCTGCTCCCTCGCTCCGGCCGCTGCTGCGCGGCGCCTGACCTTTCGGGGAAGCTGAAGCTGGGTTCAGCTCTGCTGTCTCTAGCGGCCAAGGGCGAGCGGGGTTCCCCTCCCTCGGTGTGCTGGAGCTGTCATCTGATGTTCGTCCCTGGAGCGAGATCAGAGAGCTTCCCTGCCCTTGCTGCCTTCAGCTTTCCTCCCAGTAAGGACCCTTGCGGGCAGCCGCGCAAGCTCTGAACTCGGTAGGAATTGGGGACGGATTTGAAGGAGGGTGTTGGAGAGATGGATTGGTGCAGAAGCCCGACACGCAACACACACCCCCTCTCAAATCTCTCTCTCTCAATCTTTCTCTCTCTTACGCACACATACACACACTCTGTGAGTGTCTCCCTTTCCCTCTCAAATCTCTCTCTCTCAATCTTTCTCTCTCTTACGCACACATACACACACTCTGTGAGTGTCTCCCTTTCCCTCTCAAATCTCTCTCTCAATCTTTTTCTCTCTTACACACACATATTCTCTCTCTCTCTCACTCCCTCTCTCCCCCCTCTCTCACCAGCCCCCCTTTTTCACACAAGCCTCCCCTTTCTCCGCCCAGACCTGCAGCCTCTGCCTTGATTAATCGATTCACCCCAACCGCGTCTCCTCTGTCAACCCCGCTTGAATTTCCAAACCGCTTTGTATTTATCGGCCGCTTAACCGAGAGACACACACATAGAGAGAGATAAAGAGAAAGTGAGAGACCCGAATTAATTGCGGTCGCCCTTCTTTGGCGGTTCCCCTCTTACAACCGTTGGCAAGAAGCCAACCTGCGCAAATAGGGACCCTAAACTTCGGCCTGTTTGTGGCGGCGCTACAGGTTGGATTGAGTAGGGCTTAAAAGGTGAGCTGGGACAGTTTTTTTATGAGCGTTGTTGTTTGCTGTCCAACGCCGGTGACATTTGGGAACGTTGCGCCTTAATTCTGGTCTCTAAGGATAAGCGAGGAGATTTAGAGAGTGTGTGTGCCTGACGCAGGAGACTAACGCCCTCCCTTCATACTCAGCATTGCTGGAATATTTCAGCCGCTGTTACGCTGGCACAAAACTGAAGCCTTTTAATAGTGTTAAAAGTGGGGGGGGGGGGAAGAATGAGTTCTTGCCACGATCTGTTCTGTAGAGTTTACAGAAGAGATGGGAAGGTGTATGCCTACAGGATGCCCCCAGCCCAGCCTTGCTGCGAACTATTTGTTGAATCTAACTAAAGGAATCTAAATGAGGAAATCATAAAGTCCCCAAGATATTGCTCAACAGATCACTTTGACATCTCTGCATCCTTTCCTACTAAAGGGATGTGCATGAGAAGGGGAGGAGAGTCAAGCCTTAACTTCATATGGAGAGTTAGGTGATAGACAGAGATAACTATCCTTCATTCTGATATCTCTGTTTTCACATTTATATGTTTCTTGGACATGTTTAAATTGCACATGAAAGTTAGAAGAGAATTGTGAACAATACCAGGTTTATTTGGATAATGTATTCATGGANATTCTCCCCTTTAATTTTTGGGGCTCCAACCCCATCATCTTTTGCTGTGAGGAAGACTAGTCTTTCAAACTTCGTCTCAATTCTCCCATATCCTTCTAATAGATTTTAAATTCCAGCCAAGATATTTTGGAATTTTAAGGTTTCCTCATCTGAATATTGATCCATGTTTCCAAAACAGAAGAAGGGGGGGGGGACTAATAGTCACTGCAATTCTAGCCTTCCAGGCCTCTTTTATTTTTTATTTTAGATTGACTTGAACACATTCTTTTTAGGAGAAGGGTTCAATTCCCCCCTTTCTTTCCCCTGCCAAAATAGTTTTCAGAGGCACCAGTGAAAACAATTTGTGCCCTTGGCTCTTTATCAGCTCCTGTAAACAAATTGCAAACCCTTCAGCTACAAAGTCAGTGAAGTCAAAGAAGGAGAGAAAAGAGATACGTTGTTCAAAAACCTCAGCCTCTGACCTCTGAGTGGCAGTGTGCTACTTTTCACTTTCTAATATTTATCTCTGGCTTATAGGAAACAAATTTATTTAGATTTATTTTAGTGAGTTTTAATAACAAGTAACAGGAAGAATTGTTAAAATAAGAAGGAAGGTTTTAATCCAGAAGTCAAAAAATAAAGCAACAAAAAGCAGAAGAAAAAATATCAATCTGTTCATGTTAAGAGAAGAAATAAGAAACGTTGTGAGTATTCAATCCACAAAGAATAGTTACAAAGGAAAAAAAACTTCCCACAACAATCCAATTACGGTTAGTTTCGCTGCTCAGTTCTTTTGCTTAAGGATCTAATTTAGCTTTAAAGAAAAATTTCTTTGGTCAGTCTTTAGTAAAATAGAAAAAATACCTCACCCAATGGACTCACTTTCTCTTTTCACTTCCTTCCTTCCAGAGCGTCCTGATTTCATCAGCCTGGGGGCTGCCTTTTTACCACCGGCTTGAAGTGTTTCCCTTGGGTCGTTCAGAGACTTTGTGATGTCCCTAAGACCAGCAAGGCGTCTTCCTGATCAACATCTCTATGGGATGGTTTAGGTCTCAATGGACCGTCCAGCGGCAAAAGTGTCAACGGCAGTCTCAGAGTATCGAGACCGCAAGTTGTGACATCGCGATCTGGCTCCTCCTTCCTCCCTAATCCTTCTTTTCATTACACTAGACCAGGGGTCAGTAACATTAAACACTCAAAGAGCCATCTGGACCCATTTCCCACAGAAAAGAAAATGCCAGGAGCCAAAAAACCCTTTTGACATCTAAAATGAAGATAACATTGCACAAATCATTTTTTACCTTTATGCTAGGTATAAAAAAACTTTAGCATTTATGAAATAAAAAGCCAAACTTAAATTATCCACTTGCAGCAAACCAAAAATGGCATCTGCTTCTGTGTGCCGTCATCCTCAATAAATCGTGTGCCGGGTGTCACACATTGGCAGTTATGACACATATTTTGAGCAACAGGGAGCCATAGCAGAGGGGTGAAAGAGCCACATGCAGCTCTAGAGCCATGGGTTGCCAACCCCTGCATTAGACATATCTATTCCTACAAACGTCCTTCCTATGTTTTAGTCATTTGGCCATTAAGAGTGTAAGAGATATGGAGGAGAAATGACAAAAGTGACATCAGGACTACCCTAGAGGGCTTGAGGGTTCTGCCAGGGTTTGCTTTTCAAAAAGTAGACATGTCCTGGACAGAAATATTTGTATTATCAGGCCTGCAGTCATATTGCTTTTAGGATCTTTCGCCTGCTACACTCTCTTTTATTTTACTATGCTGTTTCATTAGTGGGGAATTGGGAGGAGGAATGTAAGGAGTAGAATGTTGTTGTCAAAATAAAACATTCCTTTCTAGAATCCAAGGTCATTCTCTGTCTTTGCACCTCTGCACCTGATCTGGCAGTGGATGGGTGGAACTGCCAGCATGGCAGTGGAAGATTGGACCATGTGATGGACTTGTGGGTGTGGGAGTAAGATCATGAACTTTCAACTGGGTGGGAAACCCCCGGAAGCTTTCAGATTTGGGTTTCCACAGATGTGCCAACATGTCTCTCTTAATAAATTGGAAGTTTGAGGAAAGTTCTGCCTTGGACTCTGATTTAATTTTTGATGATATTTGAATGCTGACATGTATTTTAATACAAAAATTAAATAGAACAGTAGGAGTTCTTTCCATGCATTTAATAATTTCCTTTGTTTATCATATTAAAATGGAATTTGGTGGCATCCACTGAAGAGGCCATGGGTCCAAGTTTGAGTCTTTGAGATGTTAATTGTCATGCTGCTTTTATAGACTGTTCCTTACTCTCTGCTTCTAATAAAGTACACACTTTTACTAGCTCCTGTTTCTTATAAATGGCTCAGGTCATGAGTCATATAATTCTATTCAGGTTTATTTGGAAGCAAATCCCACAGAATTGAAAGGAGGTACCTCCTAATGCCAAGATTACTGGTATCTTGGGAGTTTAATATTGTAATTGGGAGACTATATATTCATGTTGGAAGAAACCAAATCTTGTGTAAGGTAGCAAAAATGTAAGCATCCTTCATTGAATGGATGCTGTCAGTTCTATAAATACTACTCAGCGCAGATACAGATAATCCTTGACTTACAACTATTCATGTAGTGACTATTCAAAGTTATAATGGCACTGCAAAAAGTGAGATATCATTGATCCTTACACTTATGACTGTCACAGCATCCATACAGTCACCTGATCAAAATGTGGGTACCTGGCAACTGGTAAATATTTATGATGGTTGCAGAGTCATGTGGACGTCGTTTTTGATCTTCGCAGCTGGCATTTGACAAACAAAATCAATGGGGGAAATCAGATTCTCTCAACAACCGTGCAATTTACTTAACTGCAATGGTTTTCTTAACAACCATGGCAAAAAAAACTTGTAAAATCAGGCATGATTCACTTAACAATTGCCTTGCTTAGTGACAGAAATTCTGGTCCCAATTGGGGTTGTAGGTTGAGGATTGCATGTATCAAAGGATGCAAAAGCTATGATCTGTCACTTAAGCAACAAAATATCCATCATCTTGTACTGGGTCAGGCATCATGAGGACCCGGATAGTTGTTGGGGGCGATATGCTGACTCTGTAAACCGCTTAGAGAGGGCTGAAAGCCCTATGAAGCGGTATATAAGTCTAACTGCTATTGCTATTACTATTGCTATCACAGTGACAGAGTTCTTGACATTCAATGTGATTCAATATATATAGGCATGCACAAGAATTCTCTCCTGAACCTTTTTCCTTCACTTGATGAATGATAATAGGGTAGTGCCAATGGAAGATCTGAAATGAAATGAAATAATGGCCATGTTTACTTTTGAGAGAGACTGGAGTCCCAAAGATGATTTTTCAAGAGGCAACTGGACTTTCTGGGTTTTTGTTTGAAGATATTTCGCTTCTCACCCAAGAAGCTTCTTCAGCTTCAGTGGCAAGTTCAGTTGCTTCTTGAAAAAGCGCCTTTGGGATAACCATGACCTGGACAACTGAGAATCTCCACAGACAAAGACACTGGAGCTTTGCAAGAATGGAAAAGAAAATTAAAGCAAGTGGACGCCTGTAAGGAATTGATAAGTGAAAAGCAAAATAAATAAATAAAAAACTCCTGCAAAGAATATGTGTGTTGCCTCTTTAAATGAATAAGTATTGAAGAAAAGAAGCTCAACCATTTGCAGCAAATGCACTGGGAGGGGGCTGTCTCTGCAAACTCTGATGAATTTACTCCTTGCTCGAGTTCT